GTGAATAACTGGGGGGGGCCGTGCGCTGATCCCTGTGCTATCCCATTTGCCACTGCCCTCCACTTCAAAGGAGACCATTCTATACATAGTCCTTTTTCCCCGTTTCTAATCCAGTTCTTGATCCGTGTCAGTATCTTACTGTAGATCCCATGGTCTTTCATTCTGTAAACTGATCTCCTCGTTGGAACTTTATTAGAAGCTTTCTGACAATCCAAATATACAACATCCACTGATTCTCCATCATATATCCTAAAAGAGCTCTTGTAGGTTTGTCAAATGTCATTTATCTTTCATAAATCCACGCTGACTTTATCGAATCTCATTGACATCACCTAAGTGTTTTACATTGTATTCGTAATGTGGGTGTCTTGTAAATCCTTATAACACACACCCCGGCAGATGGAAAAAGTGGGAGAGATTCCAGGTCACTTGTACATTGGCATCAAACTGATGGCCTAGTGGTATTGTCACTGGACTATCAATCCAGAAACCCTGATAATCCAAAGACCTGGGCTTGAATCCTGCCAAGGCAGATGGTATAATTTGAATTCAATAAATATATGGAATTAAGGATCAAATTCTAGAAACGTAGAAGATAGGAGCAGGAGGAGGCTGTTCCGCCATTCATCAAAATTGTGGCTGATCGTCCAACTCAACAGTTTAATGCTGCTTTCTCCCCATAACCTTTGATCCCATTCACCCCAAGTGCTATATCTAGTCACCTCTTGAACACATTCAATGTTTTGGCATCAACTACTTCCTGTGGTAATAAATTCCACTCTTTGGGTGAAGAAATGACTCCTCATCTCTGTCCTAAATGGTCTACCCGGAATCCTCAGACTGTGACCCCTGGTTCTGGACACACCCACCATCGGGAACATCCTCCCTGCATCCATTCTGTCTCGCCCTGTTAGAATTTTATAAGTCTGTATGAGATCCCCCTCATTCGTCTGAACTCCAGCGAAAACAATCCTAACCTAACCAATCTCTCCTTATATGCTAGACCCGCCATCCCTGGAATCAGCCCAGGTGACGATGAAACCATTGTTGATTGTCAGAAAATCCCAACCCGGTTCACTAATGTCCTTCAGGGAAGGGAACTGATCTGGCTTACATGTGACTCCAGACCCACAACTTAACACTTAGGGACGGGTAATAAACGCTGGCCTGGCCAGTGACACCCACATCTTGTGAGTGAACAGATAAAAACCATTGGCCTCCAACGCCAGTGGTGGCATGGTGGTTCATTGGGTTAGCACTGCTACCTCGCAGCGCCAGGGACCCGGGTTCGTTCCCACCCTTGGGGACTGTCTGTGTGGAGTTTGCACATTCTCCCTGTGTCTGCGTGGGGCTCCTCCCACAGTCCAAAGATGTGCAGGCTAGGGTGGGTTGGCTAAGTTGCCTGTGGTGTGTAGATTTGGGGGGTGGGGGAGGTGCAGAGTTGTGATGATGCTACCATCATGTATGGATTCACCCGCGGCCAGTTAACGCACGCTTGGTCTGGCCCACTCACACCTCTCTCCCTCTTTCACTCCCAACGCAGGGCCCGAGCCCGTCTCATTTCCTTGGAAACTCACCGGGATTTCTCTCGCTGTCCTCTTCGTGGTGGCCATTGGGGTCTTTGTCGGGTTTCGCGTGGCCCGGAAAGAGAAGCAGAAGCGGGCCCCCCTCTGGATGCCACCGGGCTTCGCCCCACGTAAGGAGCCCAAGAACTACAAGAGGAGGGAGCCGGTGGGGGAAGACGCCATTGGCATGAAGTAAGTGGCTCGGAGAGAAATGGTAATGACTTACCATTCGGGCTCTTGGGAGCTGAGAATTGGGGCCGGAGTGGGGTTAGGGGAGTACCGGTGTAAAGGCGGTATTCTCAAGCGAATAATCGAGAGGTTTGGACTGACATGGCTGGGAATATGATTTCAAATCCCATCTCATGATAGTAAAATGTAGGGTACGCAGGGTAGTTTGATCTTAGTAGGATAATAGGTCGGCACAACATTGTGGGCCGAAGGCCCTGTGCTGTTTTATGTTCTAGTCCTTTGAGCGTAGGACTTGGGACATCATGTTGACGCTGTAGAGGATGTCGGTGAGGCCACTTCTGGAATACTGTGTCTGGTTCTGGTCGCCCAGTTGCAGGAAGGATATTCGGAAGAGATTTATCAGGTTGTTTCAGGGTACGGAAGGTTTGAGTTATATACAAAGGTTGGATGGGCAGGGACATTTTTCACCAGGAGGTTGAGAGGTGACCTTGTAGAAGTTTGTAAAATCATGAGATGTAGAGACAGGGGTGAATGGTAGGAGTCTTTTCCCTAGGGTGGGGAAGTTCAAGGCGCATTTTTAAGGGAGAGATTTAACAAAAGACGTGAGGGCAATTTTTTTTTTTACACAGAGGGGTGGTTTGTGTGTGGTACGTGGAACGAACTTCCTGAGGAAGTGATGGATGTGGGTACAGCTACAATATTTAAAAGACACGCAAACAAGTACATGAATAGGAAATGTTTGGGGGGATACAGGCTAAATACAGGCAGGTGGGACTAGTTCAGTTTGGGATTACGGTAAGCGTGGACTGTTTGGACCGAAGGGTCTGTTTCTGTGCTGTATGACTCTATGAGTCACTGGTAGGAGGCAGCGGATTATTGCCCCTTATCTTTTTAATTATATTATCGTGGAGGGACTGTTATTTCTGAACGTTTTATTTCTCTATTCCTTTATTTTTCTGATTTGTCACAGTGATTTATTACTTTTGAAAGTCTATAATGCTGGACGTTTTATTTCTTCTTTTTTTAATATTTCTTTCCTAAGAATTTGTACTTAAGAACCTGTACCTAGGTACCTTTGAAACTAAGACCCCACCACAAGTGGCGACTCATAAACTTTTCACTGTACTCCATGTGAGTACGTGTGACAATAAAGCTCATTCTAATTCAATCCAGAATCCCAGCCTGATGTTCTTGCAATGAGGGTTAGAATCCCTTCCTTGGCATTTGAATTCGATTCAAACAATATCAAATTAATTATCGAATTTTCTGAAGGAGGGTCCTGACCCGAAACGTCAGCTTTCCTGCTCCTCTGATGCTACCTGGCCTGCTGTGTTCCTCCAGCAACCCCCCCCAACTGTGTTATCTCTGACTCCAGCATCTGCAGTTCCTGCTATCTCTCGAATTAATACTCTAGGTTAGTGATGAGCACTCTCAATTGTTGCGAAAGCCCATCTGGTTCACTCAGGGAGGGAAGTCTGCTGTGCTTACCTGGTCTGGCCTCCATGTAACTCCACACCCACAACCTGGTGCGGTTAACCTCTGAAAACAGCCTGGCAAACGCCTGCAGAGTACCAGCTAATTGAGAGGAAAGCTGGGTTAGTGCCCCACAAGTGCCTGGGCAGTGGCTACGTCCACCAGGAGGGAATCTGACCCTCTCCCTGTCACTGTCGGGGATGGGGGACAGGTGGGCTAATCTCACATAAGTCCAAACTGTCAACACCCTGGTGACTTCCACTGACCTGAGTCAAAGGCTAGGAATTCTACCCTGCCACCAGACCTGATCGCCCTGAGAGCACCTAGAAACCCACCCCCTCGCCTCCACCACTTTCCCTTTCCAACTACTCTGGACACAGTCTGTCTCTGGACTTTCCACTCAGGTCACCCAGGGACCCGACCATCATACCCCCCCACCGCCCCAACTCCCAGTGAACTTGATGCCTGTTCTCCACTGCCCCTGTTGGACCCGATTTCTCTCACACACCCTGACCTACCCTAATCTGTCCTATTTTGGCCCCCTCGCTGACTTTGCACTCTAGTGCCCTACCCACTTGGCACAGTATCCCTGGTACAAAGCCTCCTACTCACCTGACACTTTATCCCTGATACAAAGCCCCCTACTCACCTGACACTCTATCCTTGGTACAATGCCCTGAGTACAATGCCCCTACCCACACAGCTCTCAATCCCTGGTACAATACCCTGGTACAAGCCTCCTGCCCACCTGGAACCCTGCACTCCCAGCATTCGAACTGAATATAGCTGCTGTGGGTTTTTAGCTTTCAGAATGCAGCAAGGGACAAAGGAGGTAGTAAGCCTTCCTCCGAGACTCCTTTGATCCGAAAGAACTGTCAGGATAGAAGTATAGTTTTTGAGGGAACGCTGCTTGGAATTTCCCATCAAAAATGCGGAACACTACCCATTCATCAAAAAATCAGGGCTTGGTAGGGAGAGTCGCACAGGGAGAAGGGGACGTCCTTTCGGCATGTTCTGACCCACTTCGTTCCCTTCCACCGCAGGATCCTGAATCAGCAAACTGACTGTGAGGACGAAGAAGAAAATCAAAATTCCTTAATAGACGGTCCACCCAGCAACAAGAAATCCAAGGTAACGTCGAACGCTGAAGGGGAGATTTAAACAGGGGCGTCCAGATATTGTCATCATGTTTTCATGGAGTGAGCAAGACAAATCTGTTGCTACTGAGAGAAAGACTGCTGACCAAAGCACACGACTTTAAGGCTTGTGTACTATTTTGTAACCGCTAGTGTAGATAAAGGGCATGGGTCCTTACCTACTAGCACTCTGTTGTGGATGAAGAAACAGAGACGATCTGAGTTTGACAAAGCTGGGTCGGATTGCAATTTGTAACAATAGAGAAGCTGCCAAGACGCATTTGGAAAGGTTTTTTTGGAAAGTGGTTCACAAGGAGGTGGGACCACGCGAAAGCGCAGTGTTACTCATTCGGTGTTAAAGGTGCAAAAGCTGAATAATCATAGAATCCCTACAGTGTGGAAACAGGCCATTCATCCCAACAAGTCCACACTGTGCCTCTGAAGACATCCCACCCTGACTCATTCTCCTACCCCTGCATTTCCCCATGTCTAACCTAAACACTCTTGGACACTATGGGCAATTTAGCATGGCCATTCCACCTAACCCTGCACATCATTGGACTATAGGAGGAAACTGGAGCACCCAGAGGAAACCCACGCAGACACGGGGAGAATGTGCAAACTCCACACAGACAGTTGCCCGAGGGTGGGATTGAACCTAGGCCCCTGACGCTGTGAGGTAGTGGTGCTAACCACTGAGCCACCGTGCCGCCCCAACAGTACATTCATTTCCTTCATCCAAGGCCTGAATGTACAATGTAAATACTTCCTGTGGCACTCCACTAGTTACAGGTTGTCATCCTGAAATGCACAACACTTATCTTGACTCTCTGCCTTCTGTAACTTAGCCAGTTTTCTATCCACGCTAACATATGACCTCCAATACCATGGGCTTTATCTTATTAACTAGCCTAATGTGCAATACCTATTAAATGCCTCTGAAGATCCAAATATGTGACATTTAGTGGTTCTCCTTTACCAATCCTACATGTCACCTCTAAAAGAATTTCTATGGAATTTGTCATTCTGGAGAATTGGGTACTGTTCTGGCTTCAACATTAAAGAAAGGATCTGACTCCCAGCAGAACCAGTCAGGCTGAAGGCTCACAAAATCGATCCCTGGGATGAGGAGGTTGTGCAGAAATGAGGGGCTGAGTCAACCACACTTGTACTTTCTGCACTTGAAAGAATCAGAGATGATCTCCTTGAGACACTTTCAAGGTTCTGATGGGCTTGCAACCCTCCGACAGTGTGGCACTCCCTCAGTACTGACCCTCTGACAGTGTGGCACTCCCTCAGTACT